CTTGCCCATGGGGTTTAGGGTGGGGACAGAGGGGAGCCAGAGATGGCTTTTCCTTGGGTCTTGCAGGGCCTCGTGCTGCTGGGGTGCCCAGACAAGACCCTCGGTATTGGCTTTGGCTCCTGCTGCCCTGAATGCAGGGGATACTTGCATGACTGTCTGAGCTGTGCATGCTCCAGGGAAGAGGCTGGTGGGTCTCAAGAGCCCCCCAGCCCCAGGACCCTGTTCCCCCACTCCCAAGCCTCAGGACACTGTGCCCTCACTGTTCTGGTGCTACAGGGGCTGCCTGGCAGTGGGATGGGCTGGCTGAATCCCTGGGATCCCAGCCAGAGCCTCACCTGCTCTCTCATTGCTTTGCAGAACAGGGAAAACCCATCCTCCTGCCCGGCCTTCAAAGACGGTGAGTTGCTTATGTGCTCAAGCAGCAAAAGCACCCAGGAGTCCTGACCTGCTGCCTCCTGCTCTGGCCCCGAATGCGGGGTAGCCGGGAGTCCCAGCCTCGGAGGGAGAGCACAGCCCGGCACCCACACAGGGTGGGAATGTGGCTGCAGACTCTGGGTGGCTCGTTTGATCCCAGCTTGCCCTTCCTTGAGGTGCTTCAGGGATCGAGATGGCAGGATGCTCAAGTTTGGGGAGAAAGAGGGATGCCAGAGTGTGCCCAAGGGAAGGGGGATGCAACCCTGGGGTCAGAGTTGGTTTCCCGGTGATGCCAGGAGCCTGTCTCCCAAGCGCTGAGCTGCTTTGCCCTGGAATGCTAAGGACTGCAGCTGACAGGCAGTAGGGATTGGTACCTTTAGTTCTCAGAGGTGAGGGGACCAGCCCCTGCTTAGTCCCTCCTGATGCCTCAGTTCCAGGTCCTTGCGACCCAGAGGATCTGCTGGACGGTGTGATTTTTGGGGCAAAGTACCTGGGCTCCACGCAGCTGGTCTCAGAGAGGAATCCCCCGACCAGTGTCCGCATGGCGCAGGCTCAGGAGGCGGTGGACAGGATCAAGGTGCAGGAGGGTGGGGGGTATGACTGCCACCAGCTTGGCCCCTCCTGGGCATGGGGCTGCGCTCAGGACCTGCCCGGTGGGGACTTCCCGGCTGTGGGGCAGGGACCCAGAGGAGTCCTGGCAGCAGCAGTGACCTCTCCTGGGCGCTTCGTTCTGCAGGCACCGGAGGGGGAGTCCCAGCCCATGACAGAAGTGGATCTGTTTGTCTCCACGCAGAGGATCAAGGTGCTCACGGCTGACACGCAGGTGAGCAGGGAACGGGAGCACCCACCTGGCTTTGGGGCTGATGAAGCCTTGGGATCCCTGCTTTGCACCTACGCCAGTAGGGTCATGCCCAAGGATGGCCTATGGGCAAGGACACGTGTCTGGGAGGAGACGTGTCACTCCGCAGCCATCCCACGCAGACGTGTTGTGTCCTTTGGCTCTTTGCATGGCTGCACAAGTCTTCTCATGCAAACTGCACCTCGCAGGAGCTGCTGGGTTCCTAGACCAAGCCCCAGGGAACCTGGGCTTGAAATTTCTGTAGCTCTTTGCCTCAGGATTAGTTTCTGCTTTATAGTGAGAGGGAAAAGATGTCTTGTCCCCTGCAGCACCCAGAGACACAGATGAGTCCTTGATCGAAGGAGTTGTTTGTACCTTTTAGCGTAGACATGGTTTCCACCCAGCATGTGCTGGCCCTTTGAGCTGCATCCCAGCACAGTGGCATTTGAACTCAAACCCTTCCTGCTTGTGGTGATGCCTGGCTGGCTCGTGGGCTGTCCACGGGGTCCATCAGGCTGGGGAGGGCTGAACATCTCTGTCTGTGTCCCTTTGCCAGGAGGCCATGATGGATCACTCCCTCCAGACCATCTCCTACATCGCCGACATCGGCTCCGTCGTGGTGCTCATGGCTCGCCGGAAGCTGCCTCGGCAGTCGGAGGTGGCAGAGGAAAAGCGACTCTACAAGATGATCTGCCATGTCTTCCACTCGGCTGATGTGAGGCAACACGCGAGTCCCTTGGGAGGGCAGGGTGGTGGTTGGTCCTGTGCCCCATCCCGCTGTAAGAGCGGGTGCTCTGGGTCTCCATGCTGGGGACTCCCCACAAGGACGTAGAAGGGGAAGGAGCCCAGCCTGAGCACCCCGGTGACACAGAGGGGCTCGGTGAGAAAAGCGGGGAGGATTGGCACCATAAAGGGGCCCATTGAGGCAGGGAAGGAGCCAGGATGCCCTGGAGCTCCCAGGGCACAGTGCCTGTGTTGGGTGTTGCAGGGCAGCCATTGGCTCCAGTTTGACCATGAGATGGTTGGCCCTGAGCCATGGGCATGAACAACCCCTCTCCCCAGGCCCAGGTCATCGCTCAGGCTATCGGGCAGGCATTTGGCGTGGCCTACCAGCGCTTCCTGGAGGCCAACAGTATCAACCCGAGCGAGCTGAGCCCTCGCCAGTACAGCCGTGCCCTCGAAGACCAGGAGCAGTACAATGCGGAGCTGACCCACTTCTCCCGGCAGGAGAACTGCAAGGACGTAAGAGCTACTTTGGAGGGGTGGGGACAGTGTGGGGTATGCACTGGCACTTCTGTGTCATTCCCTCCACAGCTCTCTGAACAGCTGAGGTGTTCCCTATAAAACTGGGCCCTGTCCCAGCTGGCTGTGAGCCCAGGACACCTGTGCTGGGGCTGGGACACATGCCACATGAGTCTGGTGACCCTTAACCCATCTGTGCCCCTTCTCTTCCCAGGTCTGCATCCGGAAGCAGAAGGGGGAGATCCTGGGCATCGCCATTGTGGAGTCGGGCTGGGGCTCCATCCTGCCCACTGTGGTCATAGCCAACCTGATGCACGGCGGCCCTGCGGAGAGGTCAGGCGAGCTGAGCATTGGGGACCGCCTCATGTCCGTCAACAGGACCAGCCTGGTGGGGCTGCCCCTCACCACCTGCCAGAGCATCATCAGGGTGAGCTGGGGCTGTGCCCAGGGTGGCCTCCTTCCTCTAACCTGGCCAGAGGGCAAGTGCTGGCAGAGACTGGGACCAGCCTGAATGTATCTGGGGGCGTCTGTAATGCCAGGGTCCCCCCCGATGCTCCTGGCTTGGGGGCAGGAGTGTGGGGGCCATACGCATCCCGTGGACTGTGACAGTCCCTGCTGTGAGTCCTTGGGAGGAAGGGATGTAACACGGCAGGGACAAAGCTGGGCACTAAACTTGCTGTGGCAGGACCCTGCCGAAGAAGGAGAATGGGTGAGGAAGCAGGCACCTCTCCTGGGGGGAACCTGTTGCATCTTCTACCTCCCAGGCAGGAAGGAGCTGAAAGCAAGGACAGTGTGGCCTTTGGGGCAGAGTGGGACATCTTGTACTGGATTTATAAGTTCTCCCTGATTTTGAGCATGGCAGTGTCCCTGTGTGTGCCTCAGTTTCCTTGTTGAAAACACGTTGCTAATCCTCAGCCTTCCCATGAGCAACGTGGCTGCATCAACCCTCTCAACCATGCCCAACAGCTCTCCAAAGTCTGACAAAGCCCCATCCCATCTTCCAGGAGCTGAAGCACCAGACAGAGGTGACGCTGAACATCGTGCACTGTCCCCCTGTCACCACAGCTGTCATCCGGCGTCCTGACTCCAAGTACCAGCTGGGCTTCTGTGTTGAGAACGGTGTGGTGAGTGCCCACAGGGGTGGGAGCGGAGCCAAGCCCCGGGGGTCAGCTGGGGGCTTCAGCCACCCGTCTGGCACTAGGACATGCGGTTCTGGCCGTGTCCGCATGGACGAGCACACGGCTCCAGCGCTCCTTGTGCCTGCCAGGGCTGAGGTTTCACAGGGCTCTGCTGTACCACAGCAAAAGTCTCTCCTGCAGCGCTGGCGGTTGGATCTCCCTGGTGCTCCTTAACTGTTTGCTTTTGAGGTGGTGGTTTCTTCCTGGCTTTCTTGGTGTGACCTTAGTGACATTTCTTGCTGTCCCCAGTGCCTCAGTCACTCCCTGCCCTGGGCTCTGCAGTGGCCACATTGGAAAGGCAGAGAAGGGCATTTCCAGGACCAGCAGGACTTGAGGGGGTGGGTGGGTGGTGGAGGGGTGTGGAAGAGCTGTATCGTGCACTGACCGATGCTCCCAATACTATTGGAGATGCAGTTACTCCACAGGCACACAGGAGCTGCTGCCCCAGGGAGAAGCTCTGACTGCAGCCCAGGTGTGATGGGAGCCACAAGGGTTTGATGGGTGGCTGGGGGGAGCTGAGCCAGGGGAACAAAAGCCTGTGGGGCTGCCCTTGCCCTACAGCTCAGCACGTCACTCTGGTGGAAGCAATGGAAAGGGATGGCCCTGCCCTCGCTGCACGCCCACGGGGTGGAGGAGACAGCATCCAGGTCTGGGGCTCTTGCCCGGAGCCTGCAGAAATGAGAGGGGTTGGGGTGGTGGTTGTGTGAGACCCTGGTCTGTGGGCACAGCTCTGACCTTACCAGTGCTCCCTGCTCCTCAGATCTGCAGCCTGATGCGTGGGGGCATCGCAGAGAGAGGTGGCATCCGCGTGGGGCACCGCATCATTGAAATCAATGGGCAGAGCGTGGTGGCAACACCCCATGAGAAGATCATCCAGATCCTCACACAGGCGGTCAGTGAGGTGAGCTGGGCTAGGGGACAGCCAGGGCCCCCGTGCCATGGGGCAGCTGCGGCTGCAGACAGAGCAGGCTGGGCTGAGTTTTGCACCAGTACCCAGGGTTTGGTGTCTCGCAGCTGATGTATGTGTCTCTGCCTAGGTCCACATCAAGACCATGCCGGCTGCCGCTGCATGTGCCTGGGACCAGGCAGGAGCAAGCCCAGGGCCGCAAGGGCAGCTCTGCCTCCTGCCCCAGCGCCCTCATCGGAGCCCGCTGGTCCTCAGCAGGGCCTAATCCTGCACCTCTTTGCTTTAACTCAGGACACAGTGGGAGATTTTGGGGGCCTGATGCCCAGCTTGAGCAGTGTCCGGGCCTATGGTTTGGGCACCTTCTCCTCCTCCTCCATTCACTTCCCCC